GAATTCTGAGCAGAAAAATGGCCAGAAGAGAAAGTAACAAGCACCCCTATAGCTGCATTGATCCTCTTCTCGAAACTGCAGCTTCAGGGCTACTTTTCATTGAGAAAGGAAGGAAGGAAGGAAGGAAGGAAGGAAGGAAGGAAGGAAGGAAGGAAGGAAGGAAGGAAGGAAGGAAGGAAGGAAGACCTGTGGCTGCATTGCACACATTTGCATGATGTATCCTGCAATTTGCACCTCTCTGGGTCTATACATGAAGGCTGCAGTCTAAGATCACCTTCCTGGGAGTTAAGCCCCACTGAGTAAAATGGGGCTTACTTCTGAGTAGACATGCTTAAGCATGCTCCCTAAGTGTCCAAGAAACAATTAAATGGGTTTCCAAAACCAGTACTGCATGCTGAAGACGCAAATCCATTTTCTTCCCCCCAGCAAAACATTTTTAAAAGCTGACTATCTGTGTTGATAACAGTCCTGTAGTGATTATATAAAACCCAGACACAACAAATGCTTTTAAATAGCACTTTCTTTTTTTGCAGTTTGGATTTTGCATATATCCGAGAGCAGGATTATAAAGCTGGCTAAGTGTCTTCCCCTCCAGCCACACGTATACACGGAAAGCAGAAATGGTGCCACTTGAACACAGCCCAGGAAAGCCCCGCATCTTCCCTTGGGTTCTTACGACAATCACATGAAACACAGAAAGCTGGCTTGGGATGTCTATCAGCGCCGAAGAGCACCACAATCAGCAAAACATTGTCCAGGTTATTAGCTCCCACTTGCCTCATATGATTGCAACAATATGCTGTGATCAAAAGAAACTCTTGCCCCCGTATTGCATTGTTCTGGCAGCTGGGGATAGAAAAATCCTCACTTTCATGTCGCTACGACATGAATCGTCGCTGCCATTAGACCACAACAGTCACAGCTGACAGCGCAACAACATTTGTGTTGGGAGGTTCCTGCAGACTCTGCCCCAACTGGGTACCAGTTCACACCAAGGCCTCACATCGTACTGACAGAAGAAGCACAGGAGCAGAGATGGCAGCAGTCAACACCCGTGTCCTGATCAGGCCTGACCCAACGGCATCAGCAACCCAAACAGTTGTCTGGAGACATTAATGACACTCTGCCTGAACGGAGGTGAACCGCAGAATCCCTTGCAATGTTGCCGAGGGCACCTAGGTGCACTGTCAGTGTGTGTCTTGGAAGCTGTGCCCCCAGGAGGGCCCCCCGAAGGCCCAGAGAACTAGTTGAGGTGCTACTGGGGAATAACGGCAGCTTCCCTGTTTTGATCACACACGGCGTGTGTGTGCTTCTGAATGTGAGACAGAGCCAGAGGGAACCTTTGCTTGGCAGCCCTGCCACCCAGCATTCCCTGTGACATTGCAGGTGACCTTGGAGTTTATGGCTGCCATGTTGTTGTTGTTGTTAGCCATTCATTCGTGTCTGACGATGGCTGCCATAGTGTGAGTCAACCATGTGGCTGCCTGTGATGTGGCCTTATCACAGGGCAAGGACAGACCACTGGCTGCTTATGAGTTGTCTCCAGTCTCCCTTTTTTCCCCTGAGCTCCAAGAGTCTGCGGAAATTCTGGGTAATATTTCATTGGCTTCCTATCAGGGAAATTTGTTTATTTGGATATTTATATCTTGCTTTTCTCCCTGATGGGGACCCACAGTGGCTTCCATTGTTCTTCCTGTCTCCATTTTATTTTCACGAACCCCCCATGAGGTAGCTTAGACCGAGAGTGAGTGACTGGCCTAAAGTCACCTAGCAAGGTTCAACAACAGAGTTGGGATTCGAATTTGGGTCTCCCAGGTGCTGGTCTGGTACTCTGACCACTACGCCACACTGGCAAATTGCTCGCCCGTCTCCATCCCCTCCAGCAGCATCACCATCTTCATCCCCAACAACCTGAGTGATTAACCTCCACCTATCCATGCTGAGACACGGGCTCCCGTGGAACATCTGTGTCCCACACAAAAAGTATCACTAAACCAGTCATCAAACAGTGGAGTGCTTAAGCATACAGCCCCTCCCATTAACACGTTGGCCATCCAAGCTCTTAAAAGATGAAGTAATTGTCACAAGACATGTTGACCATATGGGGATTCCTGTGCACTCTTGGTTCAGTGCTGTCAACACTACCAACCGAATCCATGAATTGGAAGGACAGGGAAACGACTTGAATGCACACATGCCCATAAAATGGCCAAACACAGTGATAGGTGATAAGTCATGTTTGGTGGACTTAAAAGGTGTTTAGACAAATCCGTGGACAAGATTATCAGTCAACATCTATTTTCTATAATGACTAGGAACATCTGTGCTCTGAGACAGAACGCCTCTAGCTACCAACAGCAAGGGTAGGAAGTAACAAAGAAGAGGGCTTCATGCCATGCTTGTGGGTTACTCAGGGGCATGTGGTTGGCCACTGATGGGGAAAGGATGCTGCCGTTAGTGGTCTTATCCAGCATGGCTCTTCTTTGGTTGTGATCCTGAGACACTGCGTGGTAGCCGATTATTAAATGAGGTGCTTTTTATGCAGGCTGTCATTTCGCAAACAGATATCACTTTAGTGTGGTATTCAGTGCAAGCGCACCCCGTCATATATGATCAGGGTGCACCTTCTTTTCGACTGCATGTGGTGAATGACAACTTGGCAAATAAAACCTATCAATCCTTACAACCCAGTTCCCAACCGTACAGCCCATGCTCCTGATATTCTGCCGTGGTCTAGCGTGCTCTAGGAAAACAAACCTGGATGGTGCTATGCAGACAGGAACTGGTTCGCTTCGCAGTGACTAGGAGCACCAGGGCAGAGTGCAGGTTTAGCCCCCGTCAGTGATGCTCCCAATAGCAGCCTCTTACTTTTTCACTTATCAATGGATGTTTCCTTGTTTAGTCCTACGGGCAAAGTACAGCACTGCACTTGGGTGAAGTCAAAATCTGCTTTGCACCCTGGCCACTCAGGTAACTTGGCCTTGTTGACAAAGATCCCCCTAAAATGTCTCTCGGTTTGCCTTCCCCGGGGACCTCGTAAGACACGATCCCTTCCTCCCTATAACTACCCACCTTCATCATAAGCAGCTGCTTAGCAAATAAAGATATGAGCATGCAGAGGAAAGCCCTGACTGGCCACAGCTGATCAGTGTGTTGTGCACACATGCGGCAAAGCAGATGCATGTGTCCAGCAGGGTGCCAGGTGTCTGCATCCAGATACCCAGCACAGAAATTATATTTGTGTAAGCCAGAGCCACATGGGAAGGGGGCTTGTCCGGTAAGTAGCTCTCATGCTGCTGCTTTGACGCAGTCGTTCCACAGCTGTGAGCATGCGAATATCTGGAGAAAAGCAGCAGCTTTCCCATACACCTCAGCTATGAGGCCAGGAGGCTAGCCATGTGCAGAACGACCAGCCCGCACTGGTCTAGCACCAGCAAAACACTCTGCCTGGCGTCCTGGACAGGGACAACATTTCAGAGATTTCCATGCAGGAGGGAGGACAGCTAGCCTCGCCAGCCTTCGGTGACACTCCTGAGCAGGGGGCAAGTGCCCACCTGTCCGGGCTCTGGGGTCAGGATGGAACACTGGCCCAGCACTTCCCCTGCCCCGACATACAACTGTAAGGACGAGCCCTAAGTTCTCAGCTTGCCTGATGCAAACCTGTTGATCTGCCGAGCCACACAGACACTCCCCCCCTCCCCACATTGCTGACCACTGGTCCCCTGTCCTTTCCATGTTGCTCGTCTCTACTCAGAGAGTCTCTAAAAGCCACACACTCCATGCCACTCTCTGATGACTTTGGCGAATCGATAGATTGACTGAGAGTCGGAAGGGGAGGCAGCTAGGCGGGGAAGGAGCGAAAGAGAAACATCTCCTCTGCCTTGCATTCACCCAAACAGATTGGATTCTTAAAGAGACACGAGTGGAATTTCAATAGGGGAGCTCAGTGCAGTGAATGGTCGGAAGCTCTTGGGGGGGGGGGAGGCAGGTTTGAGGAGAGATTCCCTCCGCACATCCTCAGCCCACACATCTCTCTGATACAGCAAGCACACAACCCTGGCTGTGCCAGTTTCCCCCCAACACACACACTGATAACGCAACTGTCCAACTGTCTGGTACCAGAAGCACTTTGGAAGCTGTGGGTGTTTTCGTGGAGGGGGGGGTTTCTTTACCATTAGGGGGATAGAAGATCCGAGGCACTCAGAATGGGAGGGGGGAGGAGGTTAGAGAAGGGGGATCCCCCCCCCAAGTTACAACTCCAGGTCAGCACCTGCAGTGGGTGTTTTTCTTACACACAGACGCATGGGGGACCCCAGCACCATCCATGACTGCCTGGAGCAATCCCGCACCACTACCTGTTCCATACACACGGACTGCAGGAAATCTCTCTTCTGGAGAGATCATTGCAAACACTCAAACCGAGGGTGGGAAAGAAGCCCGCACCTCCTGCCCTGAATTAATATTGGCTCTGCTCTCTGTGCCACTCTGTCGCTCCACGTCCTGCCTTTCTGTCCCTCCATTCCCCCCCCCAGACCCCCTTCCTTCTGCACCTTCCCTTATGCTGCTGTAGTTTCTGCCTCACTTTCTAGCCTGGTCCTGACTTGGCCAATCTTCTGCTCCTTTCCCCGTCCCACACCCCCCAGTCCCATCACTTATTGTTTCCCCTTCCTTTCCTTCCATGGAGGGAGCTTCCTTTCTTTGTCCTCCCAAGTGACACTGACAGTGCAAGCACACACACACACACACACACACAGACAAATACACAAGCCAGCATATGCTTCCTTGTCCCTCTGGATTTTGCGTACTTTGCACTGCGATGCGATTCCCCCCCCCCAAACATTGAAATCTGGTCTTGCTTCCAGCCTCCATTCTCCTGCAACCTGGTTGTAAGTAAAGCAGACGGATACTCCCCCCCCCCCAAGCTCAGAGATGCACCATCTCTTTCATCGCTCAGGACCGTTTAGTAGCACAAGATATATCTGATGACAAAACAGACTCACCTTCCAGTTCATCTTCAGGTATGTCAACAGGATGCTGTTCTGCAAGGATGTTGGGGATGGTATAAATGCCCCGGTACATCAACGCGGCGGTCACTGGATGGAAAGGCATCTCGGCAGCTCTTGAAAACCCAAACTTTAATCCCAAATTTCATAGGAAGCAACCTGGCTGGAACCGGAACACAGGAAAGTGAGACGGGACTCGCACCTGCCACTGGAGCTACCTGTGACCCCGAAGCTCCTTCCTTGCCCACCACGAAGGGGTTCCACGTCTCTCGCTTTGGGCTATGTTCTTTAGTCACAACGGGTTCCTTGCATGGCAGATTCCAAGCCACTCTGGTTCAGCTGTAGTCTCAAGACAATGATGGAGAAGAGGTTATGACCACATTGGCAAGATCCCCCTTTTATCTTTGTACCCCACGAGACTTTGTTTGGGTTCGGCATCAAAACTGGAAGCAACAAAATATTTCCCCCAACCTAATTCCTTGGTACCAACTCAATTGCTCTTCATTCCAGCAACTCTGTCCCTGCCTTGGCTGTCTGCGGCTCAGGCACAGAGGGGATCATCGGTCTGCATCCTTTTTCAGCCTGATTCAGAAACAGAGACCCTCGTGTAGCGGCTGCACAGCATGGCTCAAGGCCAGTCCCCTAAGGTCGCCCGTGGGAGGGGGGAGGCTTCCTGCCACCCTGGGGGTAAGTTTCCCCAGTCGGAGTTCAGAGCCAGCCTTGCTCTTCCTTGCAGTCTCTCTCCGCCTCTCCAATCTGTATAGTGCTGGCTTCCTTTCTTCCTCGGTCTCACTCACACACGTACAGTACACACATGCTCCCCCCACTGCCAACCAAATGAACATCTGAGCGGCGGAACATCTAAATCAATAGGAGGAGAGAAAGAATGCCTCAGCCACATGCAGAGGAAGGGAGAACCGAGCGGCATTCGCCCTCTGCTCCCATTCCCTCCTCTCCCACGCCACACACATTAGCACTGCAACAGTGCCGGCTGACTGTTCTGAGGATCACAACACTGGAAATTAGCAGCCACCGTTCCCCTCCCTGCCCAACAATACCTGTGTGTGTTTATATCCCAGTTGTGGAACCTACCGGCAGCAAATTTTTAAGGACACTTGGAATCTTGCCAGATAGCTGGAGCCTGACCGTACAATATACAGGGGTCTTCTCAATGCCCTTTACATACAAAGAAGGACACAGACACATGCATCCATGCACACACACACTTTTTTTTGGTAGACTCAGAGCCTTAATCAAGTCCAGTTTGACCTGCTGTGTCCCAAATTACTTTTGCAGTACATGTTGTATGGGATTTGGCTTGCTGGACGCACTCTTGGTGTTTTTAAATGTGTCTGTGCCTAATATAGCGGCCACCTAATCTTCCTGTCCTGAAGGGGGGGGGTTAAAGAAGAGTAGGAGGGGATACTTTCAAACTTTAGGTTCCTCCAGAACATCAGCCCCTGCTCTGTAGAGCACTTTGCACTGGATGGCCACTGCAGGAGAACCTGATGTACTGCCAACCTCTGCACTAATCTAAAACACCCGTAGCTGCAATGAAAGAAATGCTATGTGGACACCCCAAGAGATCACACCTGGATTCCCATATTAACTGCCCAGACATAAGACTTATCTTTGTAGTAGACAAAAGCCAGCCCACACACTTTGATGGCAGAGTTTTGTCAAGAGAACACACTGGTCATAGCGAACGGGTCTGTGTCTGACATCCTTGTAACGTGAAGAAATTTCCCCCCCCCCCCCCCTCTCAATTCCAGTTTAACTAGGAGAAGGAAGGAAGTGGGGGCATTTTGTTGCAGCTTTCAAAGTCTTTAGTTCCTATATATCTCCACCACCACCATCTGAATCCCCCTCTCTGTGTTGAATTGCATTTGTCCCTAATTCCAGTTTAACTAGGAGAACTTCCAAAATTAATTCTGGAAGGAAGTGGGGGCATTTTGCTGCAGCTTTCAAAGCCTTTAGTTCCTATATGTCTCAACCACCACCATCTGAATCTCTGTTACGTTCATACATGCACCTGTTAATAAAACACTGCAAATAAACAATTTTGATGTGACCGTACAAATACCTACATACAGATTTTTCTTGTGCGGTGTTTCACTGGTGCAACATTAGCTCCTATACTTTGGTAAAACACCTCATGAAAAGAAACTTGGTACAGTTGTACAGTTGGTACAGTTTCAGGCTGCTTTTTCTTTGCACTATTTTATCAATGTAGTTCTGTATATCAGTAATGCAAAGGAGGGGAAAAATCATCACAGAGCTGAAGGAATGGAAAGCTATAGCACAGAGCACATATAAGGGGCTGTGTACATAACTCAAATATAAAGCAAAATCACAGAGGATGCTTTAATCCAGTTTGGAAATAATACTGGATTATCTGGTATTTTTGGTAGACCGTGGGAAGGTAACAGCGTTCCGTGCGCCTTGGTGTTTAGTCATGCCGGCCACATGACCACAGAAACGTCTTCGGACAGCGCTGGCTCTTCGGCTTTGAAACGGAGATGAGCACCGCAACCCTAGAGTCGGATTCGACTGGCTTTCGAGCAAGGGAACCTTTACCTTTACCTTATCTGGTATTAAAAAATCTGGGGAGTGTTGCTAATTGGCCCTCTGGCCTGCTGGCTTCTTATCATCCTCAAGGTCGAAGATGGAGGACAGTTAATTGATTTCTCATGGGAACCTGTGATCTGTGATGGGAGGGAGGAGACAGGTGATGTGATCTTCCATAGGTTTCTCTGGAAGACACTTTTGATTGGAAGTCAACATCGCCTGACATGTTGGGCCAGAAACTATAATTCGATTGTGGCCCTGAGGAGTAGCTAGCTGCAATTTATTTATTTTACTTTCGATTTATATTCTGCCCTCCTCACATGGGCAGGCTCAAGGCAGCTTACAACAGGTTAAAAAACAGCAGAATAAATACAGTAAAACATGGATACATCAACAAAGCAAAAATCTAAAATTCAATCAAACAATCATATTTATATGTAAAGTGCTGTTGCATATAGATGGATTATAGGCTGGACAATACCCTGCAATTGCTAGAGACCTAGACAGTACTGATTTATGGGCTTTCTATCAAAACTAAGGTTTGTGCCACCTAATGCAGTTCCTAAGTAGTAGATTCCTAAGTAGTGTGTTGGCAGTGATTTCTCCTTATTGATATCTTTTGAATAAATTTACTATTATTTTATAAACAGCAGTCTGGTTCTTATGCACACTTGCCCTGAGAGCCCACAGGGTTAGCCTCAGGCTTCCTTAACATGGGCACTCAATGAAATTCTTGGGAAATAGTTTCAGGATGGACAGAATGAAATGCTTTGGTATTTTTTTGCAGTGTTTTATCAATGCAAACATTCTCATGAGTTGAAAACAGGCATGTGCTTGTGAGCCCCCTCAATTTTCAGGAAATCCATCCCACCCAGTTATACATTGTTGAAGACTCTTCAATCTAGTATTGTCAACTATGCACACTAACTATGCAAGCTCCTCTCCCTTACTGATTTAAAATCCAGCAGGTGATTATTCTGTTTTTGGCTCAAGATACACTAGAAAAACATACTTGTCCTGCAAAATGTTATTAGCCATTCAAAAACTGACCTGAGCAGCTACAGTGTGTGAAATGGCAGCCTGTGCACAGTCCCTTAGTGTTCATGCATGTGCCTTTAAAATGCATGTAAAAAGGTAAAAAATGCATCCTCTCCCTTACTGATTTAAAATCCAGCAGGTGATTATTCTGTTTTTGGCTCAAGATACACTAGAAAAACATACTTGTCCTGCAAAATGTTATTAGCCATTCAAAAACTGACCTGAGCAGCTACAGTGTGTGAAATGGCAGCTTCCGCACAGTCCCTTAGTGTTCATGCATGTGTTGAGCCACCGCATGAGCGCTAGAGAAAAATGCATCCACTCAGTCAGAGCTTTAAACTCTAGAGATCCTGGGGAGAGAGCTAAACCTTGAAGAATGACAAAGATAGCACCTCACACTGACAATATTTTAACACGGCATTCCCAAAAGACGAAAATAGGTACACAACGGGGGGCGCGGTTTGCCAGAGACAGGGATCAGAAAATAGGGACTGTCTCTAGTAAACACAGAATCATAGAATCACAGCTAGAAGGAGCCATACAGGCCATCTAGCCCTATAGCATCCCTAGGAAGTGTTTGTCCAGCCTCTGCTTAAAGACTTCCAGCAAGGGGGAGCTCACCACCCCCTAGGTAGCTGATTCCACCATTGAACAAAAAAGTCTTCCCTAATATCCAGCCAGTACCTTCCCACCCTTAAACAGGAACAGTTGGAGTGCATGGACTGCTTTCTAAAAAAAAACAAAAATGAACAGAGAAAGGGAGAGAAATCTTAGCATTTAAATTTGCCTGCATTTAAAATCATAGTGGGAATAGAGAAGATGTACCATGAAGCAGATTGGTGTTAATCCAGATTCACAGATGGGGGATCAAGGCTGAAGCACAGGGGCTTCCCCAAGGCCACTCAGCAGGCCTCTGGCAGATTGCAGTTCTCTACTGTTTTGCCGTTCAAGGAAGATTCCAGTTCTGCTCCATTCCCAGGTCCGAGTTATTTCCTGGAAGTTCTTCTTCTCTTGGTCTTCCATAATCAGGTGTCGTTTCGTAGAAAAAGAGCTAGGGGAACTCATTAGCATAACTCATTAGCATATGCCACACCCCCTGACATCAGTGGCCCGGCGGTGGACCTGCAAGGCCGGTGGGAGTGCAAGGAAGCCCCAGAAAGGCCCTCCCTGGCCCCAGGCAGGCAGGGGTGGGGAGAGGCAGGGAGGAAGCAACTTACCCTCCCTCTTCTCCTGCCTCCTCCTGGCTGAATGAGGGCCGGAAGCGGGGCAGCCGGAAGCAGGGGGTGGGGCTTCGTCATGTGCCCCGCCCCCGTACCTCACCCGGGGGAACTGCGATCCCCCGCGATTCCCCCCAAAATGGCCTCTGCCCATAATAGTCCTTGCTCATCTTCTTGCTTGACAATTCGTAAGCCGGGTCTTAACATTCTCCCCAGCTTGACCGTCTTGATCATTGTAAGTTACAGTGGGTAGAGTGCTGAGACCAGACAGAGGTTTTAAATT